CGGGGTGCCGTGCAGGCGCCGATAGCGACGGCGGCGGTCGCTCCTGAAGCGGTGAAGGTTCCAAGAAGTCGCCCCAGGCTCGATGCCTTTCTCGCCGGCGTTCGGCAGCGGCGTGTGCGCAGGTGCTCAGCGGTTCGGCGGGCCCTCAAAGGCCCGGGGCGATGCTCGTCATGGGGGGAGGGTGGGGGTCAAAGCCGCCCCAAACCAAATAGTTCAGAGGCAAAGGTGCTCGGAAAGGGTGAAATTAAAAATGAGGTACGCGCTGGTAGCACGCGGTGACAGCTGCGGCGGGAGCAGTAACGAGCTGGTGACAAGGGAAAGACCTGGAAGATGAACTAAAACATAGTAAGGTAAAGCGCCTCTTCCCGGGATGAACAAAGGAAGAGCAGAGGGTCACGTGCATTTTTTTACTTCTTGTTGTTTACCTTTGTAGTAACAGGATAGCTTGATGCAAATTATATCTCTGAAACATGCTATTGTCAAGGGTTTTTTCTTGGGTTGTTTTTTTTTTTTTTTTCACTAGTACTTTCATAATACTGAAAGCAGCTAAAGAACTACAAAAAGAAACTCAATTTAATACATTATTTGGCATGGCACAAATTAATGTACATTTTTGTCTGTAAAAAGCCAGGCAGCTCCAAAAATGCATTTTGTGTTCAAGAAAAATGCCCCTGACTCGATGCGCCAGTTCACGCCACGGGACCTGCAAAGGCTGTGAAAAGTTCCCTGCGTTCCCTACGTGAAGTGCTGTTGGCGCACCCTCATCGGGGCTCGCAACGCCCTCGGCGCTCATCGGTCCTTTTCCAGATGCTCTGCAAGTAGAACAGCAAATTGAATACTCAACTGGCAGAGGAACAACTTTTTCAAATGTGGGCAACACAAACCCCTGCGCCACAGCCAGCCTCAAAATGAAAAGCACTTTTTTTTTTTTCATGCGTGTTTTTCTTCTGGACACCTGAATTCAACAACTGAAACCTAAAGTCTAATGACCCTCATTTCTGCTAAGTGAAACTTCTCTAAGTTGTACAGTTTCTAATAGCCACAAGGAGAAATTAAGTTAACTATCTGACTCTATATAAATACATGTGGTGCAGCTCAACCGTCTCATGTGTAAAAGGGAGGATGCATCTGCTGCTTGGAACAGAGCCCAGGCTCATCACCGCTTTGTAATGTGTGTGGAAGGGAACTCAAACAAGAGTCAGTGCATCACCTGCCTTTAAAAATTGGGGAAGAGGACGGAGCTACCAGATAAAAGTAAACATAGATAGCTATTAATAGACAATGCTTTATCTCCTCAAAAAACCTGAGAAAAACAGAAGGCTAATGAAGATGAATTAAAACCTTTAAGAAAAGGTCCTTCTTCTCCTGGAAGTAGCTCCCTGGTGTCAGTAAGGCTCATGGGATTTATAGACCTGGTTAAATCACTCATAAGATAATCACTGTCGTGAAGGGAAAATACTGTTTCTGCCTAAAAGACGGGAAAATACTGTTTCTGCCTAAAAGACGGTAAATTATATATTTGGCTTAGACACCTAATGTTTAAGAAGAAATTAAGTGAACTTAAAAATAAAACTCAAAAACGCGTTTATATTTGTAATTCAGTTTAATGGTATAAACCTCATTTAGGTAGTAGTATTAAGCCACAACAACATAATGCTACATTTAAACAGCATTTAATAAAATGCATAAGCTAAATCATGCACTGCAATACTCTATATACAAACACAACAATGCAAATTCCTCTTCATGACTGAAGACGTTGATTAGATATAAAATTCAGATTAAAAAAAGAACATGCTATTATTTTTAAATGCTATCACACATAACAATGCTGATTTCACAAAAGAAGCTGTGAGAAATTAACTTTTGCAAGGTTTTTAACTTGAAATTAAAATATAAGAACACAAACAACAGTTTTCTAAATTATAATGAGGAGAGACTTCCAGAAAATATCCCAAGGAATTAAAAGTAGATGATTCCTTTTATAAAAATTTGCTACTTTTGTAGGAGCTCAGAACTCCCTGGTATGCCAGGTAGATACAACACACACTTACACAATGTGCAGTTTTTCAGTTATGAAATTGAACGCTGGCTTGCAATGTATTTTGGAGTACAGATTAATTATTAAAAATATTCCCTCATTTAACGTTGATTCCATGTATGAGAAATATAACATATATGCTCTGTAAGTGACGTTTTCTTCTTAAAGAATATCCTTTTTATTTGAAATTTACTCAGTCCTATTTGTAACACACAATCGTCAGAAATACTTTAGAATGGACCTGTGCCTTATTATCATTTGTCTAAGAACATTAAGAAATGTACGAGAAGCCAGTTGTTCAGGGGTGTCAGACACCTGGCAGGAGATGTGCTTCTCAGACTTTTGCTTTCTGTGATCAAATACAGGAAGCTGATTTCACATTCCACAGTTGCTATAGAATGTTACAACAGAGCCTTTATTGCCACTTAAATTTGAGCACATTTTGTCCTTCAGAATACGAACAATTAAAATGTGTATATAAAACAAGTTCACAATTTTAAAATACACTTTTTTTTTCTAAATTCACAACTGACTTTTTAAGCAGATTCAATCCTGATTAATACCCCAGTTAATCCCAAATTACCCTAATTTTTAAAAACGTTACTGCAGTACAATGATGTTAATAGATGTTCAGGTTTCCATTCAGCCTTTAAAGGGAAAAGCAAACATTGTTCAAACAGCACCGATTGTCAAGACACCAATGAAGGGCCATCTGTCACAGGAATTCCTGCCAT